TAGACAAATTCACAAGGGTCGTTGGACGGTACCAAAATTTAGGCGGGCAAAACAACAAATATAATCAGATTGGGGAAATATAATGGGGTACTTGGAATGTGGCTGTCCGTTTAGAAAAAGTTTTGTTTGGCACTAAACATACTTGTTTGTAAACCGCGTAGAAATACTCTCAATATTTTCAATTTCAAGTCCCCAAGAAAATAAAATTAATCGTTTAAATTGAACTAGACTTTAAATGTCATTAAAACAAATGCTGATCAAACGGCGGTAGCGTAATACTGGCGCGTCACAATTATTTACAGCTCTGTGTCAGGAGCACCGACCATACATCTAATTGGTTTTTACGTTATGGGGTTTACAATAAGAAATAAAAATCGGTCATTTACATGTACTATAAAAAGTAACCCTGATTCTGTATGGGGAATTAAATAAACTAAGGGAAATAAAATATAAATTGAAAATTTGTGTCTAATCAAAATTCTTATTTATGTTGATCATGCGATGAACAATTATGAATTTTATGCTTCCCGAAGGGTGAACATATAGTTGCCGCTTTGCCCGTCCGTCCTTCCGCTTTCTTGTCCGGGACATAACTCTGAAACAACAAATGGTATCAACAAGAAACTTTGTAAGTAGATCAATCTTATTAGGTAGAAGTGCAGTGTAAAAGAGCCATCACTTTGCTTTGGCTAATTTTGGAGTTATTGCCCTTTGTTCATTTTTACACTTTGAACTTTGTCCGGGCCATTACTCTGAAACCATTAAGGTATCAACAAGAAACCTTATAGGTAGATAGATCTCATGAAGTAGATGTGCAGTGCAAAAGAGCCATCACTTTGCCTTGCCTTATTTTGGAGTTATTGCCCTTTGTTCATTTTCACACTTTTAACTTCGTCCGGGCAATAACTCTGAAACCATAAGAGGTATCAACATGAAACTTTATAGGTCGATAAATCTCATTGGGTAAAAGTGCAGTGCAAAAGAACCATAGCTCTGCCTTGCCTAGTTTTGGAGTTATTGCCCCTTTTTAATTTAACACTGTTAGGTTTGTCCGTGACAAAACTCTGAAATTATAAGAGATATCAATATAAGACGTTGTAGGTAGATAGAACTCCCATTGCGTAAATATGCAGTGCAAAATAAAGTTACTCTGCCTTACCTAATTTTTGAATTATTGCACTTTAACTTTGTCCGGGCCATAATTCGGAAACTACAAGACGTATATTTTTCTGTGTCAAAACCCTAATCGGGGAGCATCACGCGGTTCAACCGGCTTTTGTTCCTTTTGCATAAGCTTATTAATGACAAGCCATTTTTAAGTCAGAAAAAAAATCTTTGGGAACAAGTTTTTATTTCTAAACACATCTAGATATCTGTCATTAACATCATCAGAATGTCCATCATCTAACATTAACCAAATATTCATCTTTCATCACCTATATATCCATCATCAAAATAGCCATCATCTTACAACATCCAAATATCCACCATCAAACTCCATCCAAATATCCAATTTCTATCTTTTACAAATATTTATTTTTTTTACAAAAATCAAAACTATCCATCAATTAACATCTTAATCTTAATATCCACCATATAAATACCCATCAGCTAACATCTTCGAAATATACAACATTACATCATCCAAATGTCCATCATCAAACATCATCCGTCTTATTTTACGTTATCAAGATATAGTCTAACTCGTATGTTTTCTTTTTAATTTGAATTGGTTTTACGTCACACCGACACAGTATAGTTCATATGTCGACGTTCCATCTTCATTGGAGGAGAAAAATCTCACGTGCCGTTTTGACCATTATTTCAGGCACGAACACACCACTGACGTTCCGTAAGCTACTTGGCTGACTTCCTCACATAAAAGAATCCATAACGGGATTTAAACCCACGACGATGAGGGGCAAATTGTTTAAAATCAACGACCTCCACCACTCCGTCACAGATAACTCTCGGTTTCGAATGTATGTGAATGCATGATAAGTATATCTACGTCGCTAATAAACTTTTTTTACACCAGCAAAATACGTTGTGTAACATACATGAATTTAATATTATTGTCAAAAGTGTCTGTAACAGCTGTAACTGCCTTCCTTATCTGTCATTCTTTACGAATATTTCTCTGCATTGCATAATAATTCTGAATAAAAAACAACTTATCGTACACATTACATTACGTTATGTACATACATAAGTAAAACATATGCAATGATTCACTATAGTATTTATTATAGCATTGTTTTAATGTGTTTGTATGTAGTGTCAATAATCAGTAATTACGCTATACGACATTGCGATATGAGGCTATCGTTGTACTTTAAGTAGTTAAGTCTGCAAACAAGGATTTCATAGACATTCAGAGCGCATACCTGTCAGCGTAAAATCTGCAAAGAATATCTCCAATACGCACTGGGTTTAGAAGTTGTGATTGCGCACAATACAAACATACATTTAACAAATGTTATTTACCGAAATAATTTAATGAAATTTTACTTGGACAATTAATTATTTGTATTATTATTGCTGCCAAGAAACAATGATTACCCATGCCTATACATTATTTTTTCACTCGCATAACGTTTGTTTCTGCAAATGTTACACTGTTACAAATTTAAAAAAATGATTTGAAACTACAATTTTCAATATATGACAGGTTCTCTTTCCGTTATCCCAAAAATCAAAGTCTTTAATTGTGATTCCATCCTTTGAAATATACAGCAGACACCGATACGGTACACAATTATATTGGCTGAAATGACAGTAAATGTACATACAAATTGCATATCAACTTCTTAGAGTACCTCAAAAATAAAATAATAATAATAATGAAAAAAAAAAAAATAATAATAATAATTATTATTATTATTATTAATCGATTTTTATCATCATAATTATTAATTATCCGTTATCTCTTATTTTGAGAAAATTAAATGGATACTTTTAAATCAATCGAAAATAAATCAATTGAGTAAAATCCAATTGAAGTCTTTTCCAATAACTATTTTTGAAACAATTCCAGTTGGATTTTTTCCAACAAAAATAATTGGAAATAAATCCAATTAGATTTTCAATTATTTTTTTTTCAAAACACCTTTTTGGTAATTTAGTGTGTATAATTGTGTTTAATTTTTATCGAAAACTATCATTTGCCTTTAATTATAACCGCTTTAATAATAATTAAAAAAATTCTGTAAAAATCAAGTCGGATTTTTTGCCACCTTTCAAAATGTGACTTTTTTAATTTCATCGAATTAGTTTTTCAAATTAGTCAGAAAGTCATTAAAGGATATGTTTATGATTATTTTATAGTTAAAGGGTTGCTGGAAAAATTGAAAATCCGGTTGGAATAAATAAAAATGTTGGAAAAAATCCAATTGGAATTTAAGTAATTCCGTCCGGACAGCAAAATTCCGGGCGGAATACATTAAATTCCGCCTGGACAAAATTTTTTAAAATAAGATTTTTGATAAGAAAAAAAATTAAAAATTGCACTAAATGAAGTCAATTATTTCTAATTAACCTTAAATCTATCAGATGAAATGGTTTTCAAGTGTTTAAGGTAGTGAAGTTTGCCACTTTTCCGAAGGTGCAAAGATTTTCCGGTGGCTGTTCTAATATCAATAACATAACATTATCAAAACATCATTCAATTACATCATTTAAATATCCATCATCTAACATCATCTAAAAATTCAACATCATCCAAATACCCATCTTTCACATCATCCAAATATTTTTCATCTTGCATCATCTAAATATCGATCGTCTAACATCGTCCAGATAAACATCATTAACATCATAAAAAAATCCATCATTTAACCCCCCAAAATTTTATTTCAAACCCCCAATAAAAATTCCAAAAATAAATCTTTTATTATTTTAATCAAAAAAATTTTGAATATTATATTTCATCGTTTAAATTCCCAAACTTTTAACTAAATTTAAATATATCACAACTGCATCTAAATATCCATTATTTACATTATCTCAATATCCATCATCTAAATATTCATCAGCTGATATCATCTAAATATCCATTCTAGATTTTCATCATTTTACATTATCCAAATATCCATTATGTAACATTATCCAAATATCCACCATTCATCAACATACAAGTATCTACCATCTAACATCATCCAAATATACACCATTTACATCATCTAGATATTCACCATCTAACATCATACAGAAATCGACCATTTTACTACATTTAAATATCCACTATCCCACCTTATCCAAATATCAATCGTTTACATCATCTTAATTTCCACCATTAACAGCATCTAGCTATCCATAATCTAACATCGACCAATAATACGTCAATTACATCATCCAAATATCCACCATTCCATCTTATCAAAATATCCACTATTAAAATAATCAAAATATCCACCATTAACATCATTTAAGTATCCACCACCTATTAAAACAATTTTAATATTCACCATTTAACCTGATCTAAATATCGAACATTAAATCATCTAAATATCCCTCATTTAAATCATCTAAATATCCACCATCCAACATCAGCCAAATAACCACCATTTAATAGAATCCAAATATCAATTATCTCATATTATCTTAATAACTATACTCTAACCTTATTCAAAATATCAACCATTTACATCATCCACATATCCATAAAGTAGCTTAAAAATTATCCACCATCTTTCAGCATCTAATTATCTACCATCTTGCATCATCAAAAGATATCGTCCATCTTATATCATCAAAAATATTCGCCATCTAACATCATCTTAATATCCACCATACAATTATAACATCATCCAAACATTCCTCATCTTACATCGTCCAAATAACCACTATGATCTGATCTGAATATCTTTATATTGTTTTCAACAAACGATCTAACACTAATTATGTTTAAAGTAATACCAAAAATAATTTTGAATTAACTGCACTCTTTGGTATATTTATAAATCAATTCTCCAATATATCAAAATAATTTCTTTTTTTATTTATCAACAGATGATTCTGTAACAAAGATTTGACAAAAAAGAAGGAACGAAAATGGCACAGAAGCTGGAAAACCGTGCCAATCTGTTTCGTATACAAATTCTCATTATAGATGGAGGCCTGCTTGCTTTAAGAAATAAAATTGACCAGACCCTATTTGCACAAGGTACAACTTTAAGTGCATGTTTGAATAACGAAAGGACAACAATTAATGGTTTGAAAAGCCGCCGGATTATTACACAGGTACAATATGACCAATTGTTTCCAACGAATGGTAAAGTCCCAACTACTTCAGATATGGACATCACTCTTATCATTTGTCTTCTAAGGAATCTGAAATGTTTTGGATTGAATAAGAAATTCGACTGGAACGCAACGCCTTTATTAACTGATAAATCAGTTGAGGCAGATATATGTCGGTTGAAAGCTTTCCGAAATGAAGTAAGTACGCCATAATAAAGACATTATTATATGATAGCAGAGAATGACATACTTTTTTCTGGGATACAAGTCGAATCTTTAAAAGGCTCTAAACATATCTCATCAGGCCAAACTTGTATTGTTTTAAAATAGAGAGTAATAAAAATCCCTAAAGAAAGCCCAACACGGCACAATTGAAAATGTTGGAGGCTCGGTTTGATTGAGCCTGTTCATGGACGGTACTGGAAAGTGCAAGTTACCGTCCACGCCCCCCTAGCACCGGCTTAAGCAGAATTCAACATTTAATATAAAATGGTAAAATTTAGAATTTTGAAACATCCGCAGATGTGTGAAAACCTGTTTGTAATTGAGTAGGGCTGTATTCAAAGGAAAATCAGCTTCCATTTGCATTTTTCTGTTATTTGTATTTTTTACTGATTTTATTTTACTCTCCACGTGTTGTACTCTCATGTTCAATATTTATAATTTATATGGCGTGCACTGCACTAAAAGTATTAGCCATACTTTATGTCCATACGAAAAACACTGCATTATTTTCATTGTTATCTTAATGCGTTCATAAATTTCTTTCACGAGTTTTAAATTTCCAATCTTTGAAAAGAAATATTCGAAACTATCACCTTCTAAACACAGGAGTTGGCGGGTTATTTTCACTTAATGGCTGATAATTTTAATTCTTATTTCAGATTAGCCATATAGCAGAAACAACTGCTATACAAGCAAATGACTTTGCAACTTGGTGGAATGACATCGAGCAGGTAATCACAAAAGTGGTAGTTGTTTATAAAAAGAACCATACTAAATTGATAGTAATAAAGAATTGTTTTGCATATTCTGACCTATTTTTGGTAGTTTCGTCTCTGATTTTTCCACGCTAATTAAACGTCTAATTAAGGCATTTCATAATGGCTTTGAAATATTTATATTATTTATAGATGTTAGTTAATGAATGTAAGCTCATTCGGAAGTCATGGAGTTTTATAAATACTTTAATTTTTGCTTCTCTCGGGTAGTGACATTTACTTACCATACAACTAAATGTTGAGCTTTTTTTCATTTCTTTCATCTAAAATTACGCCTGTATGTTTTACATTGTGTATCAGTTATTAGCTGTATTCCTATAGAAACATATTTAATAATTAACTTTCGTTACTTGTTCGTTAATATGATGTGCCTGTATATAATTGTCTGCCCTTAAAATCAGCTAGATAGTATACATGGACAATGTGATTATTCATTATTCTTTATCATTTATGATCTGATTCATTTTATGATTAAATTCTAGCAATGAATAAATCAACAAACTCATCGAATTTGATAATGCATACATAAACGAAATTCTAGTTTATATATTTCGCGTTAAATTCTCTTTTCAGATACTGGTTCGACTAAGTTCTCCACCTCTGAATATTCAGCAAAATATTGCCGACTTTTAAAGATTGCCCTCTAGATCCAGACGAAAGAGAAAAGGGTACAAGAAGAAATTAAAAAGTGGAAGGACTATGAAGCTGATGTTGATCGACTGAAAGAAGAAATGACAGATGTAAAAGAAAGGGTTACTGAAGTGGAGAATAAGCAAGAGGTGATCTACAGACGACTAAATGAAGGTCTTTTGTTTTTAGTTCTTTGTTCGTTTATCAGAATGAAAATTTATTGAACGACATTAAAATGATGTAGGATATTCCTTCTAAGCAGAACAATGAGTACATGTTTTGGAATATATGACATATGTGGTGAAATAAAATATCATACTATTCCCAAAAAAGGCCATATGACAAAATGTCGTGAAATAATGAGGAAATTAGAAAAAAGGGGAATCGCAAAATTTCCCCACAACTTTTATTATGGGCTCTCTATAAAATTTTTTGTAAGCGGAATAGTTGGCCCAATTTTTTAAAAACTACCGGTTACATTATTTATGACATCAAACCTTTCCCTATAAAACAAATTAAATAAATTTAAATTTTCAAACTTTTCTCTCTTCAATTTCATTATAAGTTTGGTTAAAGTGTTTGTCCACCACTATCGCGTACTAAAAATTCCTTAAAAACTCTAAAGATTGAAACATCATATTTATTCCATCATATTGTAAATGTGCTTTCATTAATCATCATAAATAGCTTCCAATATCTTGTATCGAACGGTAGAATGCTGTACTTTTAAAATGTTGTTAACATGTTTATTGTATTAGTTTCATACCACTAGAAAATAGTAATGTCATATGCAATAATCAAGACATACACTGATTACATGTATATCTGTTTGATAACACAGGCGTCTCTTCTATGCAGACAGAGGAGGAAAAGTATCAAAAACGCAAGAAGGGTATGTACACATAGCTGCACTTCTATATCAAACAATAAGTGTAAATATATACTGATGCATTTATAAATCATCCAAGAAGTGTGAGTAAATATTGATATACTTCTATATCAGGCAAGAACGGTAAGTTAATATCATTAAGCAAGAAGGGTTAAAAAATATATGTACTTTGATATCAAGCAAAAAGACTAAGTAAATTTTAATGCACTTTTATATCAAACAAGAAGTGTGAGTAAATATTGATGTACATCTATATCAAGCAAGAAGGATCGGTAGATATTTATTTACTTCCATACAAAGCAATGGTGTAAGTAAATATTTGTTTATTGATGTCAAACAAAACGGGTAAGTAAAAAGAGTTGTAATTCTATATCAAACAAGAAGGATGAGTAAATATTGTTATATTTCTATACCAAGCAAGGAGATTAAGTAAATATTTATGTAGTTTTATACCAAGCAAAAAGGATACGTAAAACACGCTTTGGATTTTTCAATACGAAGATTACCTTCCATAACAAAGAATATCCTAAACACATTACGTTTTAATATGGTTTAAAACTTGAAAGTGTAACTGCTTTTGCCCGATAACACTCGCAACATATGTAAGGTGTCAATTTTTGTCCATCTGTATTAATTATCGAGTTGTGAAATATTATGAGGCTATTATATATTGTTGAGTACAATACTGAATTCTATTAGACGAGTACACAGCTTTCAAAAATATACTGGACGAGGCACTAGCCGAGTCTGGTATAGGTGTTTCAGCTGTGTACACTTCTATGTAGGTCGAGGTACATCATGTTGTGCAAAACACGAATTAATATATAAAAGAATTATCTTTGCGGACGGCACTTGCGAAACTAATCTTTTGGATTACGTTCCTGATGCATGTCATTGTTGTTGTCCTTTTTGGATGCATTTCTATTAGTTGTCTTTTACGAAAATCATTTATTTTGTCAATAATAAGCAGGACGCCATCAAAATTATTTATGCCGACGTCTTTTCAAGTTGGGCATTGTATCTAGTTTCAATATGTTCTATTTATTTATATCAGTGCAAATACGAAATAATCAGTCAATCAATAGGTAGTTTATCTTTTACGAAAAAGCTTGTAAATGAAAACAGGAATGACCAACATATAACATCTGTCGAAGATCGGACTCATTATAGCACAAAGTACGCGCTCAGTCGCCATAATGTCTTACGTGTGTTATTCCTAATATGTGGACCCCGATTACCAGATTGGGCAAAGTGTTTTGCTGTAATGTCCACAGAGGGTTATTGCCTTGTATAGTAAACGAAAGGTAATCCGTATGACGCATACAAAGGAAATAACCATGCCAATTATTGTGTAAAAATAATCAAAATTTGTTTGCCTTTAGTTTTTGGTCTACTTTTAACAAGATTAATAGCGTAAGGGAAATAAAACAGTTATAGTAATAATCAGAGGGAAGGAAGAAAAAACAATAGTGAACATGATACATTTAAATGTTACCAAACAAAGTTTGAAAATAGGAAAATGATTATATAAGTTTAAAGGAAAATATGAAAATTCACAAAGGAACTTTTGAGTCTTACAGTATAGTTTTATTTATTTCTCTGTAAATTATTTTCAAATCTCGAAGCTCGAAGGCTTTATAGATAAACTTTGCGAAATATCTTACAATTTGTACTGACTAAGTGTTAGTCAGATCTGCATATTATACAAATAGGGGTTTATTAAGAAATATTGATTGATATATCGTTACTTTGTAAAATTATACAATTTGCATTCAAACAATTAGTGAAATTCACCCTCAATTTTTGACATTCCGCTTATGAATGTTACTCCATCTACCCGTTTTTACACTTAAATGGTGAGCTGTCAGTCTAAATCTGGTTAAAGCCGTGAAATATTTTCTTATATTAACCTTATGCAGATAAATGTGCAAATAAAACATGTTGCTCGTGATGACATAAATTTATACGACTTGTCCATTCTTGAAAAAATACATCGAAAATCCTTGTTTTGGCTTCAATAAGGACAAAGTTTGGTTACTAACACCCTGAGCTAGCCAAACTTGTGGCCAACTGTTACAAAGAATCATTGGTTTACATTGAGAAGAAAAATCGATTTGTATAGTTTTAAATGAGATCAACTTCACGAATTCATCTTCGTGAATTCACGATTTCAACTTCACGAATTCACGATTTCAGCTTCACGAATTCACGATTTCAACTTCACGAATTCACGATTTCAACTTCACGAATTCACGATTTCAACTTCACGAATTCACTATTACAACTTGATGAAGTTGAAATTTGTTGTGTTTTCATGTCTTAATTATTTATAACTACTCTTGAATGAATTTACATATTCTTTTTATTCACAAAAAATGTAGACGTATTTGTTATTCATAATGCATGGACAAATGCTATGGGCGCAATAATCAGTAAATTGTAACTCGGGGTCTAAATTATTGGGGGAAAGGGAAAGTTCTAAAACTTTGGCAGGTTAATAGTTGTGGCTTCCAAAACTTTATAAGCCGCTTTGAAAACATTTTTTCTTTCGTCTTACACAAGTAGTTCCATAGTACTGTAGAGTGGGGAAATGGGTCACGGAAAATAAAGAAACGGACAAGGCAGTCCATCATTCGTTAAAAACATGTATGCACATAGATAAATTATGTAAGATTCGGAGCAATACCAATTTATTTTCAAACTACAGTATCTCTCTCGTGAAAAGGTGAATCTCCTTAGTTTTTTTTTCTTTTGTTGGAGGGAAGGGGGTTTGGGGTGCATTGGAAAATTTTTTTCAGGAATAGTAAGATAACATATTCTCTTTAAAGAGGGTTATGGGTCTAATTTCGACACCAAGTTGGCCCTTAAAAGCACTGTTCTTGTACAACGGGACTTGACAATTGGTATAATTATACACAGACACTTTTGAAACAGACCTTGACCCCTTTGATCTGGGTCTTAAACTGAAAACATTGTAAATACTATTTAATATCCGCTTAATGGCATTTCATGAAGCAGTGACATAAAGACATGCAAAAAGAATTCAGTGAATTACTTTCCACCTCTGATTTGACATAACTGCATATGAAGGTGCCGAAAAATAAGATTAAGTTAAGACAAGCAGCATTGTTAAGTGATTACAAATTATGCCATGGGGTTAAACATAATCGACACCCAAAGGTCCAGTTGTTATGCGTGTAGAAATTATTATAAATTCTTGTAATTTTTATTTAGAACTGCTGCATAATCTAGGAGTTTTTTCTTTTTTTGTCTTATTTTCAGTTTCAACCGTCGATTTTTTTTCAAATCATACCCATTGGATCAAAGTTGATATCGTTATTTAAAGCAGCTAGTTTCGGAATATGTATAACAGTGGTTTTTAGTCGAGCGGCTTCATCTACGATTGCCCTCTTTATGTGCGTAAAATATACAGATGACAAATACACTTCAATCATGTCATATGAAACAAAACACTTAAACATCGTTATAAATTGGTATATTCAGTCTGTTCCATAGTGCACATTGTTCAAAATCAAAATGTTGATATTATTGCGTTGATACAACCAGCATAATTTATTATTACCCCTCACTTACTTTTTGTATTGTTAATTTCCCATAGGTCACTGGGAGTGTCTTATGTACCATGTGACTTATAAATTTGTACTGTTACAGGATAACAGGATATAAATAACACATGAGTTTGTGGGTAACAGTAAAAATATCATCCCGAGGAAAATACTGTTATCCGAGGCGTAATCCATGTGTTATTCATTTTATTACCCAAACAAATACTGTGATCATATGAATTGTCAACTTAATCTAACTGTTACAAAAATAAACCAACAAAAACTATTCTGTTCTTACCTTTTAAGTTTTAAGTGTACTGTACAGTAGGACTACTTGAGATGTTTTCTTTTATTTGTAAGCAAGTGATGATATATTACAGTCATAAACATACAATAAGTTTTATTTAAAAAACAAAACACAAACCCATTTATACGGTTATGATCAGTGAAATCTGATCCTTCTGAAGTTCTGTATCGAAAATATTCTTCGCATGATTTTTGACCTATGTGTTTTCAAAATAACAATGATATCCTATGTCTGTCCAGCATATCTGTAATGTTTTACTAATTAAGATTGTTAAATAATCTTTTGCTGTCTGAATGTTCCAGTTTGACACATACTTATTCACATTACTTCCGGTTAAAACGGCTGTTTACTTTTGGACTTGTAAACAAAAAATATTTTATGGTCGCAAAAAGCACTCAAGGGTACAAGTTACTAAATTTTATTGGTGGTCATTGTAACTCTAGTGATGCCCTATTGTGGAAAATAACGATGAATTGAGAGAAAAAATGGCGGCCATTTTATTCTATTTTATTTAGAAAATAGACCTCGTGACGAGATTTTATACTGTTAAAAAGGACTGTTACCCTTGTAACAGTATAAATTTCTTGGTCACGTGGTACACTTGCAGTAACAGTAAGAATAACTCCCAGAGGCCTATGGGAAATTAAGATTAAGAAAAAAGTGAGGGATAATAAAAGTTTTTTAACAGTTTAAAAATCTGGTCACGTGTTTTTTTCAACTTGTAAGGGAAGGATAGTTGGATTATTGTTACTCTTGGTTAAGTTTTAAACTGGCTTAAAATTAATGTTAGTCACTAAATCCCAGACCCCCCTTAAGGGGAGGAGTTTTTACTTTCAAACATAAGACCCTCCAGCCAAAGTTTTCTGAATCCGGCCCCGCCATGTGTTATTTATATAATGGTGAGAGTAATAAAAATTTTTGTCCAATTTCCTTAAATGATTGACAAAAAGTCTTCCAGCTGTAATTTCTTTCACTTTGATTACCCATATTGAAACGTACCCGGGGTCTGCTAGCCCGGACACATAATAAAATTAGTATATAGTATATTCTGTGGATGGCTCTGGCTTGGACTCCCTAAAATATAAGATGTAAAGAAAGGCTTCTTACTTTCTCTATTTTGACAAATACGGTGTCACGTCTTGCCTGTGGTCTGGTACAAATTCTATGGTAGGAATTACCATGAAATGCTATAAGGTTGATGGGGTATCTAAAATGGTAACTACAAAATACAGTGGTGTTCT